CGTCTGAGCCCGCGTTTCGTACCGCGGGTCCATGGCGCACGCGCAGACGTTTTTTCATCCCTGCGCGTACACACACACACACACACACACACACACTCACACACACACACACACGCACGCACACATATTCATTTTATATATCTCACATTTCATTATCATTATTAATATCATTATTGCTATTATCATCATTATTGCTAATTTTTGTTTACCTTTTTGAGATTTGGATGAATGTTCGGACGGAAAATACGACTGCAGTGATAATGCTTTCTGCAGCAATACCATAGGATCTTACAAGTGCCCCTGCAAAGCTGGATTCAATGGGGAGAATTGCACGAAAACTGGTAAAAACCTTACTTTTTTACTAAATCACTCATGCCATTAAAACAACCCAAAGGGACAGAGACAGATTACAAAATAGTTCATGATTTCAGGTGCCAAAGTGATCGAACTCAGTAACAGGGTTGTGGAATTTAACAGTGAGCACGAGTTGTGATGTTTTTTGCAACTTTCTATTCTATAAGGGTAATTATTAAAGCTGTCATACTTTGGCTCAGCTTTATAGCATTAATCGTGAAAGTAAAGACACGTGAAATAAAATCAGTATTTTCTTTCCTGTAGCTATGACTTGTAAAGAGGCGTACGACAGGAACACGTGAGTAGAGATTCACAGATAAACCAGTCTACCTCTGTCAATATCTTCTCTCATTTGCACTATCGTCCTCAAAGGAAAAGAGCAAATGCAAAAAAGGAAAATCGCCAAATAGGAATTCCATAGCATATGAAATTACTCTCTGGGTGTATTTCCGACAGCCTTTCAATTGTCACAAAATTTTCACTGAAAAATTCTAAACACTGAAATTCTTGAGAGTATTCATAAATTTTAAGAGGTTCCAAGCCTTAATAAAAGATACACATTTACATTTGAGTTTGGCTTTTTAGTTTTGACTCTTTTTTTAATGATAATGTTACAATAACTATACGTATATACAATTTAAAAAAAANGAAATTAAAATATTTAGATCCTCCGTATTTAAGCTATGATAGGATTGATAGGTCAGAACCAGCAGTCTTTTAACATAATACAAAGAAATGGGATTCCATTGCCTCAATTTCTTGACCTCATCAGCTGGAGTGGTCATAGGTAGCTTGCAAACAATCCTAATTGCTCTCATATGAATACATTCAATATCCTCCATAAGTGATGGGGAAGCAGAGCCCCAAACAAAAATATTATATACAACACTAGGAATAATTGAATTGAAATAAATAGATTCCAAGATGGACTGAGGCAGGAATTTGATTTGCTTCAAAACAGCCAATTTCTTGTTAAATTGAAATACAAACATTCCTAATATGATCCTGCCAGGATAACTTATTGTCTATAGTTAAGCCAAGACACTTAGATGAAGACTTGAGCTCGATGGTCTTGGTGCCATATCTTAAAGCTGGCAGAGGGCCTATAAAGGTGGATCTAGATATTATCATTGCTTCAGTCTTTGATTCATGTGCAATTAGTCTGTTGGCTGTGCACCATACGTGTAGCTGGGATAGAATACATCGAAGTGAAGAGATGATCATGTCTGTATCCTTACCAATGGTATAAACTGTGATGTCATCAGCAAACATATAGAGGTCTCCATAAGATATGGATTCAGGCAAGTCAATAACAAATATTGAGAATAATCTAGGCCCCAGGATGGACCCTCGGGGCACTCCATACTTCACAGGTTGTAGGGCAGATTTCTTTCTAGATATCTGGACAAACTGATTTCGGTTAAACAAATAATTGGCAAGCCAAGAAAACAGATACCCCGATATTCCACTGGCTTTCAGTTTCTCGAACAGGATTGAATGGTTAACTGAGTCAAAAGTCTTGCGGAAGTCAACAAATAGTACACCCACTACCAAACCTTGATCCAGAGCTGACTTCCAAGTTTCTGTCATAGGAAGCAAGAGACCCTCAGTTGAGCGATTTTTTCTGAAGCCCTACTGGTTGCGACTTAATAAATTGTGGGACTGCAAATGATCATATATGGAATTGCACACCACAGCCTCGAGAATTTTCCCAGGAATGCTAAGCAGAGATATAGGTCTGTAATTGTTCACATCGCTTGGTTTGCCTTTCTTGAACACAGGAATAACACGAGATAGTTTCCAATCACAAGAGAGGGAGGCACAGATGAAGCTATCCTTATAAAGTGAAAGCAAGCTGTGGGTAACCAGATCAGTCGATACCAAAAAATGGTCCCTAGGTGAGACCAAATCTGGACCCATAGCCTTCTTAGGATTTGTTGCCTTCTGGGTAACACTCTTGACTAGCTCCCAATTAAAATCTGTGCAGTCTTTAGTAGGAGTAATCCTAGTAACAAAGGTCGATAGGGTTGACTCGTCTAGAGGATTTAACTTTGTTGTTAGGCTTTCAGTGACATTGATGAAAAAATCATTGAAATGTTCTGCTTTCGTTAGATCATCAGTTAGTAGCTTATTATTGTAATCCATAACTGGACCAAGCTTGGAAACTTTGTTTTTCCTTATACCTGATTTTGTCAGCTTCCAGAATTCTTTAGGATTGGTTGATTTATTAAATTGTTCTTTCCAGTAAGCAGCTTCGGCCCTCTTTAACAGATTTTTTACCTTGTTCCTTTTCACCCTATACTGACTCCATTTCACTGGATCTCCGGAGGTTTTAGCCTCACTTAAGAGCTTAAATCTTTTGTTCATTTCTTTCCTGGTAGAAGAATCAATCCATGGGAGGGAATTAGATCTGATCTTTGCTTTCCTAGATGGTATATGGTGGTCCATAATATCCTTGTATAAGTAGTTCCAGATGGAGTAGCAATCATCAATATCATCAAACAAATTAACAAGATGCCAAGGAGCGTGCTCAAAGTCTGTATTAAGATGTTTTTTGTCTACTTGTTTATATTTCTTGGTTGAAAGGATTAGGATTGTTTCTAGCCACTTTAAAAACTGCATAAATCAGATGGTGATCAGATATTCCTAAGTCAATGGAACCAGATATTTGAATTTTCGCTGGCTGGCTTGTTACTATGAGATCAATAAGAGACTTTGAATCAAGTGTTATGCGTGTAGAGCTGTCCATGATATTCTTCAGACCGTACCTGCACAGAATCCTTTTGAAGCGTTTTCCAAAATGGGATTCATTTGAATCCAGGGTGGGAGTCATGTCACAGTTAAAGTCGCCCACCAAGATAATATTTTTCCTTTTCATCCAAATCTCAGTGATTTGATATCTAAAATCGTCAAAGAAGGAACAATCACTCGGAGGTCTATAGATACAGCCAACCAGGAAAGACTGAGATCTCACAGTAACGTTCAACCAAGTAGCTTCCAAATTAGATTGATCCCAGGTAGTAACCTGATGAGCAAGAAGACTTTCCTTGTAGTAGATTAAGACACCACCGCCGCGTTGTCACGGTCATTTCTCACTAGGTGGAAGCCGGGAATCCTGACCCAATTGTCGGATACGCTCTCACTGAGGTGGGTCTCTGTAATGCCAAGAATAACAAAATCGACCACCTCCAATAGAAGCTGGACCTCCGGAGGTTTGTTAACCAGGCCATTGACATTTAGATGGCCGATCTTAAGATTTTTATTTCCCACCTATTGACGAAGGGAACTCAGTGGGTCTACGAGCTCCAGGATATCAATGCCCGTAGTTTCGTTGGAAACGGGAATACGAGGGCGAGGGTCGGCGAGAGCTTGCGCTGTCTGAAGACAGGGAGGACAGACCCAGTCAAAGGAAACTATTTTGAAGAACCTCAAAATCCCATGGCTTGACATGACCACACTTAATGTGGCACCACTTACGGCATTGGTCACAATTTATAGCTCGGTGATTCCGCGCAACAGTCTTGGAGCAAACGGAACATTTGTCACTCCTGAAAGGACCAGGCTTAGAGGAAACATCACCACTAACGAGGAGACGAGTCTGCTGAAAACAGCTATCAGAATTTACATAGTAGTGAATCCTTGAGTGTAGGAAACCTCTTCCACGAGTCACTGTAACAAAATGGCGAACTTTTATCCACGGCGAGGATTGCTTGTAATGTGCTGAAATTGCACCAGTGGAAACATCAAACTTTGCATGAGGAAATGGTGGAGCCCTCAGGAAGCAAGAAAAGGTGTTTTATTCCCAAAAAAGCAGAAGGTACGCAGCTAGAAGCCACAAAAAGAGATAGCAGTAAAATGCACGACTGGACGCCATGGCTGACCGCTGACCGTAACACAGAGGTTACGCTTACAGATCTCTGAGCGATTATCTGTTCTGGGTTCGAGAGCTAAGGGGTAGTTGACTGATGTATGTTTACATATGTTGTATCGAATATATGTTTCTATCCAGGCGTCTCGAATGTCACCGAATATACTTCACTGCTCAGCGTGCTTAAGTGTTATGCTTACCTCACGTACTTCCCTTGACTTGTGGAGCTTTGTGCACTTGAGATGCTTTAACAGCGTAATTTGTCCCTACATGTGTCTTACATACTAACGGCGTGATTTCTCCTAGTATGCAATATCACTACTGTAAGATTTTACGCCGTTAACTTTATTAGAATCAAAAGAAAGAAAATTTCTAAGGGGATTGGAAGAAATTGGCAGTCACATCAGAAGGGATACCTATATCACTTGGGATCTGGGTTTCTCTTTTAAGTTTGAAGTGGTTAAAAAAAACACTAATTTCCTTCTTTCCAATATGGCTGACTGTAAAATTGTGCTAAGAAAGACAATAACAAAAAAACGGCCAATCACAAGGATCGTTCATCACAGCCGTTGTAACTGAATCAAGAAGATTGTTTTTTGTCTACCCTACGCTTTAGAGTGGCCAGGATACCCAAATTCTTTTTGATATGATGTTTTATCCCACTTTTTTGAGATCCTCAATGAAAAAAGTCCTCCCAAGTTGCAAACAATCGCAATTTTCATTTCCAATAACAAACAATTGAATTTCGGTGGAACGTGACTTGCTGCTTGCATTGCAGAATCCGATGCAACGTCAAAAAGAAGTGACGCGGAACAAGCCAAATCTTCATCAGGGACAGGTCCTCAGGTGTCTCAACCGAGCAGAGGTGCCTGTGGAACATCTGCTGATGAAATACCAGGTATAATAAGGCTCTTCCATCAAAAGGGCACCTCATATCTCCCCCAGTATCGTTTTAATGCCCATCTTCAATTCTAAGATAAGAGAACTGAGAACTCTGAAAGTAGTGTTTGTTGCTCAAGAACCCTAAAGTAATAATAATAATAATAATAATAATAATATAGATCAATTTCTATAGCGCATTTCCATGTAAATGCTCTAATGCGCTTTACAACACTGTGCGGGGGACTTTTCCAGACTGCCGGCGGCAGTTTACAATTAATAAAGGAGAAATTTTTACAGATGCCCCCTCCCCCCCTTCCCAGTAAACAGGCCAGACCACATCACAGTAATCTCGTGATGTGGGTTCTTTAACGTCCCTTGCCGAAATTAACTAATTGATAGGTGCAGGAGACGGGACCTCCGGCTTTACGTCCTATCCGAGAAGACGAAGCAATGTGAGTGAAGCGTCTTGCTTAAGGACACAACGTCAAGCCCCAGCCAGGACTTGAACCCGGGCCATCTGACCTAGAGTCCAGCGCACTGACCACTGGACTAGTACTGGCTTGATCATCTTTTATGTTAGTTTACCTTAAAAAGTAGTCGATAGTGGTTGCAAAGTAATTAGGAAACTTGTTTAGATATTGCAACGAAAATGTTTCAAGTAGAATTTCCAAAAGTAACAGTGTATGTTCCATTGTCTCAATTCCAGGTCATTTCGTCAACAGCGATTAAATACTTAGCTTGCGCGAGGTCTGGTACATTCTGGCTGTTTTCTTTCACCGATTATTTATTTGGGTTAAATTTGAATTAGAAACTCAGAAACTTGCTTCGGAAAGTCTTCAACGAGCAGCATAGATACTGTAGACATAAATGTAAATTTGTACTGGTGTCATCTGCGTGTGATTCCACTCTAACTCACCTTCTAAACTCTTAGGAGAATCCTCTAGGTTAATTCCCTTTCTTTTAAGTTTATCTCGTGCCGGATTAATCAATGAATCAATCTGCAAGCATTACTTTAAAAAATTACCATTTAATTGGAACATGTTCCTGCTATAGAAGTTTCTAATCGAGGTTCTGATGCATCCAATTTAATGCAACCGTACACCACCACTTATTTTTACGATTGAATGGTGAAAAAAACGTATGGTTGACAAGAATTGACAAGTTGTCGATTTATATAAGCACATGTACTAAGTAGTCAACAAGATGGTTGATCAATAAAGCTTTGTAACTAGGTGTAATAGAATGCTCTCTTTTCTTAAGATGATAAAACTACCCAAGACAAACAAGACCACAGAGGCCGAATTAAAAAAAAGCATTCGGATGGTAGAAAGAATAAACGTCAGAAACGACGCCAAGGTAGAGTAGGTGAGTGGAAAATGTTGGCAGTATCATAATACATACAGTTTCGAGTTTCATCGAATTAAAAAAAGTTAATTTAAGTAAAATGCTACGACAAGTTATGCACATGATTGGCATTGAGAGGAAGCAACTCTTGGAGGGTGAGATGAAGATGGGTGGGATGAAGATCAAGAGGAAACACACACACGGTTAATGGGCATTTAATCGATGATTCTTCATGAGTGCTGCACAATTCGAGAAAAGCAAACTCGTAGTACATCAATACTTTAGTCCGGATATGGTGTTGTCCAGATTCATTTATTTTCACTAAATGAATAAAAATTTCTTAAATGCTCACAAAATTAGTAGTCGTTACCTACTTGGGAACCTGTTGGAACCCACAATTTTTTAAGCTTATCTTACGATTTTACTCTGGTCTGTCACTCAAGGGCTGGATTGTGAAATTCATTGTAATTATTTAAGGAGCGATTCGCAAAATTTTTCAAGAAGTTTGCCTTTGTCATCATTAATCAAACGTCCTTGACTGACTACATAAAAATTCGTTACTTTTTTGGCTATTTGCTGTTGTCTCTCGTATACACCTATTAGGCTTATGTCTAAAATGCTAGTTGCTTAGAACATTCTCAACACCTCAAATAACTCTAACTTACAAGTTGCGTTGACCATTCTTAACACCTCAATAAGTTTTATAAAATTTCTCAGTAAGTCAAGTGGATTTGGGTCCTCTTAAGTTTTGTGGGCTTTAAGAGCCATCTCCTTGAGATACTTGAATTAAGTGAGCGATAATACCGGTACGGGCCTCCAAAACGAGTTATTTTAACTTGCAATGGATTCTCTCGAAAAAGCTTGACAGCCACTGTGCTGATTTCAAGATTTAGAGACTCACGTCATTAAACACCTCGGTATACGAGTCGCTCAGAAAGGGTCTGTAATGCCATCCTCTTAATATCTCACTGTTGGGACAAATTTTGATTTTAACGGAATATTTTTAGATACTGAAACTACGATTGAATCAAGTCAGACGGGTGCAGAGAAGAGAACAACACCCCAAGGAGCAAGGTCAGCCCCTCAAGGGGCAAGTGGAAGCTCAGTAGACAACTCACCAATCGAGCGCAACACTCGAGGTAAGTGGCCTCTCTAGATCTTTGGATATCACGGTAACAAGGGTACAAATCATTGCATGAGTTATCATATTAGTAATCACCCATTCCTGTAGGAAAAAAGAAGCAAGGGGAGAACGTACTTTCCACCCCTCCCATTCCAAATTCGTTCTTTAAGGTCCGTTATCAATCTCTAAGGAACCAAGCGAGGTTGGTCTGTCTTTAAGAGTGTTTAGTCCTCCACGTTCGTGGGCACTTTCTAATAAAAATGACAAGTCTACCAGATAATTGTCTTTTTAAAACAGCTTTCTTTCGCAGATGACAACGTTGATAAACAAAGGAAACAAGTGTACGGAGAATCATCACGGGAACACGGAAAAGGTCCCACGATTGCACCATCATTTGACGAGGGAAAACGTTCAGGTAAAGGTTAAGTTGAAATTCTAGGCTATAATTAATTATTAAGGCTTTGATTTAGAAAAAAAACACAATTTAAATCAAATCTTCCTTCAAATACTTTTAACCAAAGCTTGCAAGTTCTTTATTCCGGCACAGATAACAAGAAAACAATGCGAGCCCGTCAGCATTTGACAAATGCTTCCACTCCTATCCAATACATGTCTTTGTCCCTCGATGCTGCGCAGCAGCAAGGGTTAATGAGAGAAGGGCTATTGAATAATTAGAGACCGAAATGCACACAATATGCATCATAAAGAGAAAGGGAAAAAAAGTGACGTGAAAAATAAGCAAGGGCCTCCAACATTAACTGTGAGCTTGTGCTGATTTCCGATAAAGTTACCCATTTCTCTGATTTTGAGAAAATCAAATGCCTAACGATCAACTTATTTTGAAACACATTGCCTTATAATACAGGTCAAACACAAGCGCAACAAGCAAGAACACCTTTTCCAGGAAATAAGACTGTCCTTTCCTCGTCAGAGCAGAAAGCACAGGCACCTTTGCGAGGCGTTTTATCAGCGAAAAATATTTTTAACTTGAAAATGTTAAAAGAGATGGAAGGTACCGATATCGTACAAAAATTAAATGAGAGTATGCCTCACTTTAAATATTTCCTACGGTCGGAGGAGGAGCAGCACAACAGAGATGAATTCATCTTTGATCTTACCTGCATATTAGCGAGAGTATGCCTAAAGCCAATTAACGAGAAAGTGATCAACATTTTCACGGCGCTTAAAGGTTCTGTTTTTTTGAGATCAAAGATTCCATGCCTGCTGGATCGTATTCAAGACTCAGAAATCTTAAATGACCAAGGATCCCGAAGAAGACTTATTCAATACCTGATCGAAATATTCACACAGTTTTTGATGCCTTTGCCCAGTTCTTATGCTGACCTGCCCTATGAACAATTGAAACGAGCCTTAAATGAAACAAGCATTGACAAAAAAGAGGAACTTGAGAAGAAGCTTGAGGTCTTTAAAGAATTCAGAGATAACATCATTATAGCTGAGAGACAAAAGCGAGGACAACGTTACACGAACGTGATTGGACAAAAACCGCCTAATGATTTCAGGGACTTGCCGATTTGTCCAACAAACAAAGAAATGACTTCTCAAGAGCGACCTTTCCTGCGTAAGAACATTTCAAAGGGAAGATATGACGATGTTGAACACTACCTCGATGTACAATTTCGGTTGCTAAGAGAGGATTTTCTCGAGCCGTTAAGGGAAGGAATTTATGAGATTACCCACAACGTCCCTAGAGGACGACGCAATCAGTCAATGAAATGCTACCAAGGAGTGCGCGTTGTTGGAAAGAATTTCACTCTCTCTGGCGTTATTTACAAAGTTCAACTTGAGAATTCCAAGTTTGCCAAGGCATTATTGGCTCACTCAAAACGGCTCATTTTTGGTTCATTCGTTTGCCTCTCGAAAGACAACTTCCAAACCATGCTCTTTGCCACGGTTGCCAATCGAGATCCAAAGGATGTGGATGAAGGTAAATTTGACATCCGATTCGTTGAAGGTCAAAATGTTTTTGGTATCGAAAAGCTTCAAGAACAGTACCAGATGGCTGAGTCTCCTGCGTATTTTGAGGCGTATTATTATGTGCTCAAGGGACTCCAGGAACTAAACGAAAAGAGCATGCCTTTTCCCAAATACTTGGTTGAATGCAGTGCCGAGGTGGACCCCCCAGAGTATCTCAGACGCGATAGCAACCAAGATCCTGTATGTTACGATCTCAGCAAGACCCTTGCTGTAAGTGATCCAGAAATACTACAGAGGATACCTGTTCTCGAACCCGATGCTTGGCCATCTGTTGAGGCATTTTGTCTGAACATTTTTCAGCTTGAGGCGTTAAAGACGGGAATTACGACCGAATTCTCCGTCATTCAAGGGCCCCCTGGAACAGGGAAGACCTATGTTGGAGCTAAGATGGCGCAAAGTCTTCTTGAGAACCGAAACCAATGGGACCCTGAGAAAGCATTCCCGATGTTAATGGTATGCTTTACCAATCACGCTCTTGATCAGTTTCTCGAAAAAGTGCTAGAATTCAACCGGGAGAGAGGCGCGATAATTCGGGTCGGGGGAAGATCCAAAAGCCAAATTCTTGAAGGTTGCAATTTGAAACAATTTGTAAAAGATAACAGAAGAAGTGACAGACGAGGCTTAATTCATAGGAAAATAAATGTTAATTTAAAAGATATGGAAAATGTCAAGGAAACGATTACCAAAGCTGACAAAGAACTTTTGGAGTTCAGAGTTCTGGAGGACAGCATGAACGCGCTTCATGTAGACCAGCTTTATGGCTCTCTATTTCCACCAGACGCTATAACCAAGTGTCAAAATATTTGTAATACTTTCAAATTATGGCTGTGCAATGATTCCCGGTTAAATGATGTGAATCAGCCTTCTAATGGGTCAACAAAGATTAATCATGCTGATAGAGTGGATGGATCAATTCTTCAAGAGAAGGATAAAAGTGAAGGTGAAGACGTTCCTGACCATTTTCGAGCGCCATTTGACATGCGTGTTACAGATAAACCACCAAAACAGAAGGCAGGATGTTCTCGTGAAGTTAAAAGGGAAGAAACATCTAACAGCACTGAAGACACAACTGCTAGAGAAGATGAAGCAACGCGAATACAAAATCAGAGACGCATCGTGGGCGAAGAGGAATTTGTGTCAGCGATTCGACTACCCAACAGAGGAAACTGTGAAGGCGAAGATAGCAAAGATGAGAACGAAAATGACGAAGGATGGATAGAGGTAAAATCAAGGCAGTCATCCAAATCATGGAGGAAAGAAGGTACCACATTAAAAGGGAAATATCACACTGCTGAATCTAAAAGTAGCCGTAACATGGAGACAACCAGTGAGAGAGGTAAGATAAAAGGAAAAGGAGCAGCCAAGACTAATTTTGTACCAGACACGAGCAAAATACAAGAGGAACTGCAAAATAAAAAAGAAATGTCGGACGAAGAAGCAATGAAAGTGGAAAATATTTGGTTCTTGCCAAAAAAAGACAGACTCCGATTGTACCTTTACTGGGCCGAATGTTACCATGATCGCCACAAAATGGAAGTCCAAAGATATGAACGGAAGCACGAACAGCTTTGTGCTGAATTAGAGGGAGTGAGAGCAGAGGAGGAGGAAGAGGTCATGCGTAAAGCAACTGTGGTTGGAATGACAACCAGCGGTGCTGCAAGGTACCACTCCATGCTTCAAAAAATAGGCCCCAAAATTGTTATCATCGAGGAGGCGGCAGAAGTGATGGAGGCGCACATCATCACCTCTCTATCGCGCGACACAAATCATGTTATTCTTATCGGAGACCACAAGCAGCTTCGACCGAAAGCAACCGTCTACGAACTGGCCCAGAAATACAACCTAGAAATTTCCTTGTTTGAAAGAATGGTGATGAACAGCATGGATTGCAAACGGTTGTGTATCCAGCACCGCATGCGCCCAGAGATCGCTGCACTGACCAAACGGTTCTACGATCATGAGATACTAGATCACGAAACAGTGTGCAAATTCGAGAATATAGCTGGCGTATCGCAGAATATGTTCTTTGTTGATCACTGTGAACCCGAGAGCCTAAATGGGAATCTGCAGAGTTTCTCTAATCCTCACGAAGCCACCTTCTTGAAATCCCTGTGTAATTATGTTCTACAGCAAGGTTACAAACCACACCAAATTACAATTCTAACCATGTACATCGGCCAGCTATTTCTTCTTCGAGAACAAATGCCACGAAATCAATTTGAAGGCATCAAAATGTGTGCAGTAGACAGCTTTCAAGGAGAAGAAAATGATATCATTCTTCTGTCATTGGTGAGAAGCAATGAAGAGGGTCGCATTGGTTTTCTTAGTGAGCCCAACAGAATTTGTGTTGCATTGTCGCGAGCCCGCAAGGGATTCTACTGCATAGGAAACCTTAACATGCTTAGACGCCAGAGCCAGGTGTGGCAGGGGATATGCCATGATTTGGACACAACGAATGCAATTGGCGATACCCTTGAACTTACTTGCCAGAGACACAAGCATGCGACATTTGTAAGAGACTCAGACGATTTTCCAATACATGGAGGATGCAGGATGACGTGTGGGGAACGGCTTGTTTGTGGCCATGCTTGTGACAGGCCTTGCCATCCGTCAGACGAGTATCATGATGGTCAATGTCGAAAAGTGTGTTTCAAAAGTTGCCCCAACGAACACCAGTGTAAGTACGTTTGTCATCATCCAAGACGATGTCCTGATTGTTATCACGGTATGACCAAAATAGTACCCCAGTGTGGGCACGAACAGTCCATACCATGTAGTGTGGATCCAGTAGCGTTTTCTTGTCTGGTGAGATGCGAGAAAGTGCTACAATGTGGACACAACTGCAGACAAAAATGTGGGGAGGTATGCACCGCTAAGTGCAAAGTTAAGTGTAACAAAACTCTCCAATGTGGGCACAATAAAGAGCTGGCATGTCACCGTGATCCGACTACTGCTGAGTGTAATAACGAATGCGAGAAGATTTTGGAATGTGGCCACCCTTGCAAAAAAAGATGTAAAGATGAATGCCAGTGCAACGCGGAAATCATGGTTCGACTCCCGTGTGAGCATATGAAACGAGTTTTGTGCCACAGGAAACATGATTCATACCAGTGCACTGAGAGATGCAGGAGAACATTGGACTGTGGTCATGAATGTTCTGGCATCTGTTATGAAGACTGTAGAAAGGATCTATGCAACGTAAGTGTGATAAAAAAACTACCTTGTGGCCACCAACAAAATGAGCCTTGCCATGTTGACCCCAAAAGTGCAATTTGTTACGCTCGTTGTCAAAGAACATTGGATTGTGGTCACAAATGCTCGTCAATATGTGGCCTTAAATGCAAAGAAGTCAAATGTGAGGAGTTGTGCCAAACCAAGTGCGCAAGAGGTCACACATGCCAGAAGCGGTGCCACTTTGGAAGTCCGTGTGATGCCTGCATGGTGGTGGTCAATATGTCAGTTCCCACGTGTGGACACACAGTCGAGATGCCCTGTTACCTAGATCCGAAGTCAATCAGCTGTAGTAAACCATGCCAAAGATCAAGAATGTGTGGACACTCTTGTTCAAGTATTTGTAGCAAGAAATGTGAAGCTCAGCCATGTACAGAGCTTACGAGCAGAACGTTACCTTGCGGTCACGTGGTTGTTTTACCTTGTCACAAAAATCCCTTGAAGCATAAATGTACGGAAAGAATTGACGTTGACTTGCCTTGTGGTCACAAAATGAACTGCGAGTGCCGTGTTGCGCATGGAGTAGGAAAAAAACCATTGTGCAACGAGAAAATAGAGAAAGAACTGCCCTGTAAACACAAACTCACTCTTCCTTGTCACAAACAACCTGATGGTTGCAAGTGCAAGAAGAAAGTAGATGTTGAACTATCGTGTGGACATACAAAGTCTTTTGTTTGCTTCTCTTTGAAGAAAGATTTGCAAAATGTGTCTTGCGGGGTTAAAACAACACAGAAACTACCATGTGGACACAAAACAATTCTCCCATGTTATATTAATCCAGAGGAGTACTCCTGTCAAGAAAAAGTTCAGCTTACCCTTTCCTGTGGACATAAGCAGCTAACGACGTGCTCGACAAAGGATGAATGTAACGAAATGGTTACTATAAAATTGCCTTGTGATCATGAAAAGCAGATGAGGTGCTCTGAACGACAAAACGGAAACCTCTGTGATGCTCTAAGTGATCACTCTCTTCTCTGTGAGGAGGAGGTTCAACTTACCCTTTCCTGTGGACACAAGATACTCATAACATGCTCTGATATGAGAAATGGATTAAAAAAGGATGAATGTAACGAAAAGATTTCTATAAAATTGCCTTGTGGCCATGAAAAAAAGGTGAAGTGTTCTGAAAGAAAAGAAGCAAACATTTTCTGTAATGCTCCTTGTGAACGCTTTCTTCCGTGTGAACACCGCTGTCAGAAGAAATGTGGTGATGATTGTGCTTCTTCCAAATGTGCTGAGGAAGTTCAGAAGGATCTGTCCTGTGGATTCCATAAAGTAAGTTGCCTCTGCTCTGAGAATGTGTCCCAAGTCGTTTGTACAAACAGGTGCCAGCGGAAGTTACCCTGTGGTCACGTATGTCCTGGAAAATGTTCAGAGAAATGTAGTCAATACAAATGCCGCAAGAAAGTGTCTAAACAGCTCAACTGCGCAGGAGGTCACTCTCTCCAAATGAAGTGCAGTGATGATCCAAACGATGTCAAATGCGAGGAGAAATGCAATAGAAAACTTGGTTGTGGTCATCTATGTCCGGGCCTTTGTAGCCAGGAGTGTAAAAATATGAGATGTGTGCAGAGAATAGAAGATAAACTTCCCTGTGGTCACAAATTGGAAAATTTTCGATGTTTTCAGCGAAAAACCGCCTCTTGCACTGCTCCTTGTCAGCGACAGAAGACTTCATGCAAACATCCCTGTAAAGGAGTTTGTGGAAAAGATTGCTCTAATTATCCTTGTAATGAGGTTGTGAAGAAAATCCTGTCGTGTGGTCATAACATCGAGATGCTTTGCAGGCACTCTATCGATGAAGTGCAATGCCCAGCTGAATGTAAAGCACCGTTGCCATGTGATCACTTTTGTTCTGGAACATGTCACGATTGTCAGGAGAGAGGTTCACATGAATTTTGCGAACATCAATGCGGGCGATTACTGATTTGTTTACACCGTTGCAAAGCCGTGTGTGGCGAACCTTGCCCTCCCTGTGACAAGAATTGTGCAAGAAGTTGTCCTCATGGAAAATGTAAAAATCGTTGCTCACAGCTTTGTGATTCCTGCACTGAACCGTGCACATGGAATTGTCCACATTATCAGTGCAAGAATCTTTGCGGAGAGGAATGCGACCGCCCTCCATGTAATGCTCCTTGTCCCAAGAAGCTCCCCTGTCAGCACCCATGTATTGGGTTGTGTGGAGAAAACTGTCCAACGCTGTGTGCCATATGTAATGCCAAAAAGCTCTCCTCCACATTGGCTGCTGGAGGTCCTGCCAAAACAGAAGGCACGAGGTGTCTTCAACTTTTTGACTGTGGTCACATCATAAGTGTTGAAGAGATGGATAGGTGGATGATGCGTACATTGGTTGACGATGTACAACTTCTACAGTGCCCCAGGTGCTCAAGGTCGATAACATTCAGTTATCGTTACGGCAAGATTATCAGAAGGACACTGAAAAACCTTGAAAACGTCAAGACACAAATACAACAACTTGAAGCAGAGCTTAACAAGGCCGTTATTTACCTATCAAAGGACATCGGTGCAACTCAGAAGTATGATGTGAAGCACAGAAAGAAGTTTGGACAGACAGATCTTGCCTTTGCACGATCTATCCCATGGAAGTGGAATCCTTTCAATCTGCCGCATAGAAATCGGACTATTGTTTTCAAATTTACGTTTAAAAATCATTTAACGATCCTTCAACAGGTGAAGAAGACAGAAAACGTCCTGGAAAACATCAATGCATGCCGAGAGGTAAGCGAACCATCGAATGCAATCAAGGATGCCTTGAAAAATATTAAAGAAGATCTCAAAAACCCAGAGCTTGATCTGCAAATGTTAAGTCAGATTCACGAGCAGACGAAAAAGTTCTTCTTATACTCTCAAGCTTTACACGTCCAGGTCATTACTTTGATGCATCGGATTTCCTTATCAAGCAATGGTGTAGCTCGACTGAGGCTGGCACACGTTCGGTTTACGAAATTTCTCCAAGGACACGATGACACTCTAGATATTGAATGGCTGGAAACAATCGTCAATTTGCTAAGAACAGAAGTGAAACTTGCTCCACTGCCGAAAGAAGCCCAAGACTTCGCAAATTTTCCTGGTTACCAAAGAGGTGTGTGGAAATTATGTGAGAAAGGCCACTCATTCTACATCGGAAAAAGCATCCCGGTTGATAGCGAGGGCTGCAAGTTGTGTGCGCTTGAGGAAAACGACTAAGCACTCCGAGTACGCTTATTTTCCAACTGGTTGGTACAGGTGTACGATTTTAGCAGAAGCCATTTCTGAAGGTCATGGAAGTGGTCGGCGACTATTTTGGACACCATAATCTACCGGAAAGTGCCAAATGCAATATGCAAAACATACGGCAAAATACAAAAGTAAACTACTATGGACTCTGCGAGAATACATATGGAAAACCTATTAAGTGAAGCAAGTTGAATGATGAACACTTTTCCCTTTTAAAGAAAAGAGTGAAAAGAACATTGGCGCGGATAGACCACGTCAGAAAGAAACATTAGAACCAACTTTAGAAAACGACCTTAAGCCACACGGAATGAAATAAGGATTGGTAAGAAGGTTTATCCTCACATTTTAGCAAAACAAATGTATCGTGATCATTTTTTTTTAAACGGGATTGAATGGTCGATGAACAAGATTTGAATATCCTTTTATTCGCCGTGATACTCATTTTCACTGAAATACATTTAGACGTATTTGATACAAAACAGTGTTTTGAACTGATTTCAAAACCAATCAAAGATGGTACACAAAACTAATCGTACATGTTATATCGAATTTTTCTTGGGATAACTCGACTGAATTACATTTTTTAAACATGAAAAATGAACGGCCAAACAGCCTGCTGCAGAAGATCGACAAGATTGTACATAGTTTCTTTCAGAGAAAGTTACTTATTTGAGGCGTTTTCTTGATTATGCAGTTTCATACATGAAGCGATAAACAGTTCTCCGAAAGGGATTCATGTGATGTTCATCTTTTTGAGCTGAGTTTTCTATTAGGCAATCACTTTTTTCTTGCACCAAAAAGGGTTCCTTTATGTAAGAGAGTTGTACACTATTTATATCAACACGACTTATGTTTCATAAGTGTTTTCAAGTGGCAGTCAACCGCAAAAAAGGAACAAAAGAAACTTCACATCTAAGTTACCAAATGTCATGAGAGATTTGGCATTACTAACTAATCGCAGTAAAAATTTTGCGATTTTGACGATCGACAGTTAATGTTTTGGTCATTTGACATATGGCCATCAACCTAATCGAAACCGTCCAAGATGCTCTAGAGTTTATATAACAGAAAGTAGGTTCGACCAGCCGAGCTTTTCTCCGTTAATAGGTTAACTAATCTATGAATGCTTACACATGGAAGTTCCCATGCATCATGAATGTTTATTACATCATGATGTTGGATGGCAACACGGTACGAACATATAATTAATTCAATTTAACCTTGAATTTGACACCTTCGACAAGTAAGGAGTTACATTTCACTAATTCGGTTCATTTTGCAAATGGCAAAGTGAGGAGAAGATGACAACAGCCAAGGATTTCACAAATTACGGAGACCACTGTAGGTTTTAATATCTTCTCATAGTTGAAGACAGCCGTGTTTACATGTGAGCATGCACAAAATAAGCAGTCTCTCTCTTTTCGGTTAATAAAAAATCGATTTCTTTCAAATTTTGCACATGAATCTGTTTTAGTCTAAAAGTAATCGAAACCACCTTGGCTTTTCGAAATATTGTCAAGTAATGTTTTTCCTGAGCGAAAATCGCCTCAGCGCTTAAAGCCCCGTTTTTAACAGCGCCGATTTTATATTAAGATGGATCCTTTGTGAGAACAAATCACATAAGTTTTGCTTTTTCAACGGTTTTTTTAACACTGAAATAATTTTTTAGTTTGGCATCTACCTTACTTTTGCCGCCATGACCGAAAGTATATGCAACTTTTAATCTCAACTCGGCGCAAAATTCCGACTAATACACCATGATAGTTTTATTGAGATTAACTAAAATAGGGTAGAGGAATATGGAAATATAAAAATATGTGGTGGTTTCGGCGAACTTCTAGTACGACAGTTAACGCAGTGTGCACATTTTCGAAAATTCTATCTAACAATGCACAAAAAGCGGAATCAAATAATTACGAAATATACGTCTACAACCTATTTTTGACGCCTGAACTGAACACTTTGAAGCTTTCTCGTGTTAGATGATATCCACACTCATTTACTTATACTACAGCCGAAAGCTGACTCTTCGCTCTAGGCGACCTATCGTTTAGTTTATCACTCAGTGATTGAAGCTAGGATAGTTATAAAATAGCCATGTTAATTCAAAATATTTCTATTTCTAAGTACTATCAATTTAGAAAGTGTGCACTTGAAAACAGATTTCGCACATATTAGTTTTAGCGTGCAATTCTATAGGAAAATTAGTTTCTTGACGAGGGAATTCTACATTAAATTGCACGCGAAAACCGATGCGCACGAATCGCGAAGCGATGAGTGCGATGTCGGTTTTTAAGCACAATTTAACGTGGAATTTTCGAGTCAAGTAGTGGATTTTCCTTGAATCGCATAATTGAATAAACGTAACAAAAAAACAAAAAAAAAGCATTACATATAGTTGTTATTCTTACGTAGTGCGAAACAATATCACTTAGCCTCGTTTTCAACTCGCAATTCCACACTAAATACCTCGCTTCTTTAACCAATCAGAATGCGAGATTTTATTCAATGCGATTCAATGTGGAATTCCCTCGTCAGGAAATGAATTTTCCTATAGCAACCTGTAATTTCTTATCATAACATCGCTCGCAGCGCCCGTGGGCAAGATGAAGCGAATCCTGTGTTCTGATTGGCTACCCCAGCGGGCAAGATGGGCCCATCTTGCCCGCTCAGGATTGCCTGCATTGATCCCGCGCATGAAAAAATAAAATAGAATTAAAACTACGCTTGTAATTCATGGACAATTTCGGCGATGAAAACGCAAAAAGCGGCAGAAGATAGTCAAACCAAAAAAACAGAAACGACTCTCGTGAGTTTGTTGTGCTGCATACACAGTTGGCTTTCCTTCCCAGCTCTCGAAGGAAACAAGTTATTCCCAATAAAGTGAAATCTTTTATCAATATAATAAATCCTTTATCAACCAAGCTTTTTCGGTCAAGATGGCTGGATATTAGCCTCGTTCTTTTTCGTTTAGGTCCATAAAAATGCAAATAAAGAACTCGACCGATATCCAGCCATCTTGACCTCACGCTTGGTTAATAAATAGTACAAATTGAAATACATAAAAGCATTAAAGACTAACTATATAAGGAGTTATTAAAATACAACTATAACATAAAAGTTAAAATTTAAACTGTCAAGTGAATTAAAAAACAGAGTAAAGATGAGGCCAGTTAATAAAATATAAAATTTAAAATTACGCGACAAAATGATCTTAGCATGCAGAGCAGGCGTTCTAGAGGAGTTTGGGCGAAAGTTAGACCGCGCGAAAAATAGAGCGAGGCGAAAAATTAGGAGGTAGGGGGAGGGGAGAGGAGAGAAAGGAACGCCTGCCAGCAGTACTTGAAAATTTGAAAAACACCCCCAAAATTAGATATGCTGGATCTTGGCGCAAACATTTGGCCAATCAGGTAGCGCGATTGAAGTGGACTTTCACTTACGTTGCAAACACACACACTTGAAAACTTCGCGCTTGTCAAAATTGTCAAAAATTTGATAAAATCTGTGTTGACATGTCCCCGAACGAAAATTGTCGGTTCTACGGCTGTAGTTTTAAAGTTAAATACGGCTCATACATATCATTAGAAAATTTATTCAGAGCATCGAAGAGAAGTGATGCTTATGGAGTAATCTTATCAGACGTGTGTGCTCGAATTGGCATCAAACTCATTCAAAACAACGAACAGTTCTCCGAGCGCTGTTGCAATCCTTGTGCAATGCAAGGAAAGTCAGAAACCTAGGACAGCTACATGCATTCACCCTTTTAAGCCAATTTCTTGAGCCTCGACAACCTGGTCGTCAACGATGCTTTTTAGAGGGCAAGCGACAACTATACAACAATATTTTCTTCGTGAGAAGCTGCTTGACTCGCACACCAAATCTAAAAATCATGCTTTTACCGAAGCCTGTCGGTAATAGCGCCAACACATCTTTATTTCTCGCAAGTTGACGTATGGCATCTTGTTGTTCATTTTTTAAAACAAAGTTTTCTAAAGCATCAAAAGTAGCTAAAGAATCGTTCAACGCAAGATCTATCTCTTCTTCGCTGAACGCCATATTAGATTTGATCCGTGGCAATGACAAACGTAAAAGGACGGCACATACTGCTGTCAATAAAATATTCCTCTGGACCAATCAGAGTTGCCAGTTCGTGAGCGAACGGGTTTTTCAAATTTTCAAGTACTGCTGGCAGGCGTTCCTTTCTCTCCTCTCCCCCTTCCCCTACCTTCTAATTTTTCGCCTCGCTCTATTTTTCGCGCGGTCTAACTTTCGCCCAAACTCCACTAGAGCGCCTGCTCTGCAGGCTAAGTGATCTCAGTCTTTATAACTATTCACAAAATGTTCTAACATGGATTTCTTGAAGCCTATAAGATTCTGTTTGTTTCTTATCTCGCTGGGGGTCTTATTCCAGAGGCGGATAGTCGATACTGTAAAGGACCTCCCTCCCTCTGACTCCCGTTTGAATCCGGGACAGACAAGGTTTAATTGTCCATGTCTGCTCGTTCGTTCATTAATATCTGCATTTCAATATTAGCGTCTGAGTCATATAGGATGGACAAATCGCCAGAAATCAGTTTATATACCGAAAGTGACTTATTTGCGCTTCATCATAAAAAGGACCCAACCTAATTGTTTAAAAAGTTGAACGCTGTTCGCTTTTGTATCAGCACCTAATAATGCACGTGCTGCGCGTTTCTATAAACTTTCCGAATATTTTCTACAGAGCAGGATGTCCACACGGTTGAGGCATACAGCATTGTCTGCTTGACCATTGCATTATGGTAAAGTTTCCTTTAATCAAGAGGCGGCAAGCGTCTTATTTTCCGCAATACAGTAATTCTCTGTGCTAACTTCTTGCGTAGATCATCCACATGTTGGTCAAAGGTAAGCTGACTGTCAATCGTCTCTCCAAGCAGTTTGTGCGAGTCGACATGTTCAAGTTCAGTAGAATTTAAGTGTAACTGCAGGGAGGATCGTTCCATCTTCTTGACCAGCCGTTTGCCCGTAACAAGCATAGATTTTGTTTTGGATTAATTTAAGATCATCTTATTACTTGTTGACCAATTTATGATCTCATCAATATCCATTTGTAAGCCCTTCGAGATGCCATTGGGGGCGCCTGATAATGAGTAGAGTAGCTAATTGTTGTGTCGGAGGTATATATGTCAGCTGCAGAGTGCTGTAGTGCTTCAGGTAGATCATAATAAATGCAAGGAATAAGACCCCAAATAAAATGCTACCCTCTGACACCCCGAGCGTTACAGTCCTTCTGGTAGAGTGATACCCGTCTATGTTCACATATTGACTTCTTCCCCTCAAATAGTCACAGAACAGGGGTAGAAGGTTCTCACTTACTCCAAGCGTTCTCAGTTTTGATAGCAGAAGCTGATGGTCAATCAGATCGAAGACCTTTTTATAATCAGTAAAAGCAAGGCCAGTGTCTTTGTCATTGTCGAGGTTCAACAGCAACTGGTCAATTAAGCGAATAAGCGCAGTTTCCAGCAGTTGAGTGAGATTTCCTAAATCCAGACTGGAGATGGTGAAACAGATCATTCTCCTTGAGGAAGTTACAAAAGTGTTTACATATGTGTTTCTCTAGTACTTTAGAGAGAACAGGAAGCACAGAGATCGGTCTATAGTTGTTCTTATCATTCCTGTTGCCATTTCCAATATAATGTTGATGTTGACAGAAAAACTTGATTATTGAAAATAATATTAGAACTTGAATGTTGAAAATGAAACTTAAGTGCTGAAATTAAAAATTGAACATTAAAAATAAAATGTTGATAATAAAACTTGAATTTTGGCGGAGATTTGCCGCCATACAATTTATGTATGCATAGCTAGAAATACGTCTTCATACCTTAGGTACCCACCCTTTATACATGACTTACCGCTGAGCAGAAAGTCGCTTAGATCTGTGGGCGTAACTTCCGTGTCTTGTTAGATCTTTTGGAGTAACAAATGCATCGAATGAATAAGATAAAGTCAGACATGAATGATCCTTTGGAATTTCCACCGAATACGGTATTCAGGGGATTAAGATTTATCTGTTGGTTGAGGAAGGCGTAAAAATAAATAACCATGACGTCTTCCAAAGCGTCGACTGCGGCAAGTAGCATACAAAAGGAGAAAGAGCAGAGGATTATTGATGTCATGTTTCTGTGTGACGAGTGGAAATCTTCGAAGGGTGGATTAACAACTTTCAATCGAGAATTTGCGATTCGTTTGGCACAGGAGACGATTGGTACCATGAAGATTCACTGCTAGTCTCGAAAAGCGATGATCAGGACAGAGAAGATGCCAGACAACACGAAGTAAATTTAATCACAGCTCGAAATATTCCTAGTTCAACTAACTCCCTCGAGTGACTGAAATTTCTTCCCTCAGAGTTCCCAAATCCACAGCCGGTTATGGGCCATGGAAGAAAGTTCAGTGGATGTGCCTATTTTCTAGTACAGGC